CTTCTCTCTCTCTCTCTCTCTATCAACAGTAAATTTTATATGCTGCTACGTACGTCAACCTACGTTTACGCTACGTCGTTGACTAACTGAGCTTTAAGCCAACGATATGTATGTATGTATGTTGTATGTATATGAATTTGCCCACATCCTGTACTAGTTATATATACTTCAACTCTTTCGAACAAGGAGCATCAAGTTAGCAAGCGAACGAAGCACTGCATCGCTCGGTCGATTCATTCAACTTTACACTAATGCCAAAACGCTTTTGATTAGCACAGCGTGAAAATCTATCGATTGCCAATACTATGGTTTTATGGATGTCGATAAAGATAGCACAGCGCACAATAAAAAGTGTAGGTACATACATATGTACATGGTTTATAAGTAGGGCTCGGAATCTCATGCAAATGTATGTTTTTACTGGGCATCTTCAAGTGGAAATGGTTATGTTTTCTTTACGAGTCATGAAATTTCCTTTAAAATGGCATTCAATCGTTAGTGCATATTTTTTCATATATTGCAAATTCCTATTTTTTAGTATAGTTTACAATAAATGCATATAGTTTCTTGCATATTTTTGCTTTGTTTTTTATTTACAACCATATACATTTTGTGCGACATCTGTTGACAAAAAAAAACCTTATTTTTTTCATAATTTCATCTGAATATCTTCTCGGATAGCCAAGCGGCCATGTAGGCCGCTGTGAAATCTCAACTAATGGAGGACTTAGGAGAGAGCTGACAATCCACTTAAACCACCCAGATATTAATCTTAATCACTATTAAAGTCTCAATGTTTCTATTTAGACAAGATTGTAACCGTCTGCTTAATTATAAGCTAATTTTTAACCGACTTCCAAAAAAGAGGAGGTTACCAGTTCGTCGGAATATTTTTTTTTATTAACCGACTTCCAAAAAAGGAGGAGGTTATCAGTCCGTCGGAATATTTTTTTTAATTTTTTTTAGCCGACTTCCAAAAAAGGGCGAGGTTGTCAGTTCGTCGGAATATTTTTTTTTAAATTATTTATTTTTTTTTTTGTATATTACCGCATAACTTTGGACCACGTCAACCGATTTCGATAATTCTTTTTGCAGCGGAAAAGTAGTATCTCAGAGGTGGTTCCATACTAACTTGGTTTAGATCCGATCATTGAATCATGAAATATATATAGATATATATATATATATATTTTTAAGTCGGTTTTTTTTTGCTAAAAGTTACTTGTATACATAAATTTTCATAGTTTTTTGAAGTGAACTACGTTCGTTATTTTTTTGTTAAAATAGTGTGTTATTTATTTTTGTACCGGCAATAAAATATTTTGAAAATGTTTTTAATTGTATGTTTTACTTGTTTATAGCGCATATTTTCGATTTTTTAGTGCATAAGATTCCGAGCCCTACTTGTATGTATGTATGTACGTATAATTACTTATACTCATTTTTATATACTGACTAAGCCGTACTATCTTGTGTGGGTTGCATCCGTCGCGGCATTGATTGATGTGGAGTAGGTACCGTAAATGCGCATGTTATACACGTAACACAACGCCGCTTTGGCAATAGGGGAATTCGCCCTTATGTGTATTCGTTGTATGTTGTGTAATCGTAACTGCATGAGCGTGTGATTTGTGGTTGCTAGCGGTACATCAAATATATGTACATGCAACAACAACCACACGCTCGTCCAGTTACATTTACGCAGAATACAGAGAATTTCACAGAAGCGCGAATACCACTACTGTGGCTGGTATAATGTAATTTTCTCAAAATAGAAAATGAAAGTTGTGTGAAATGTGGTTAAGGACCTTGCGTTTAGATGTGCATACACATGAATGGGAATATACATATTTTGTGTTAAACGAAAAAGTCAGTTGGATTAAATCTCTTTTACTCAAAAAAAAACTCTAGATTTTATCTTAAGGGAGTACCCAAATCGGAATAATTTCTTCTTCGGCGCTGTAATAGGACAACCTAATATTCACGCACGCCGCCAATTTTCTGTCAAAAATTTCTCATCACATACGAGTTGTATGAGACGATCCGAAAGTGAACGGCGGCCGTAAAAAGCTAACTAAATTTGTAATTTATGTTCTGCATGAGATTTTGCATAGACATTTTAGACGTTCGGGCAAATCAAATGCATAGCGCAGAAAAACAAAGGCACCAAAAAACTCAGCATGCACTAACTCAAACATTTTCGCGTTTTGAATAAAGAAAAGCACCAAATTTAGGGCGAAATTCGAACGTAATATTGATATATCTACGTGAATTACGTAATTTATGTGCTATTTAGCTGTATAAAAACTGCAAAATGACTCAAAATTAAAATAAGACTACTATTTTTTTTTTTTTTTATATATTTTTGGCTTAAATATATAAACAAGCACACACATTTTATATATCAATTTAGGATAGATTAATTGTCTTTATTCTGACATCATTACTTTTTTTTTATCGGTTATTTAGTTTAGAAAATATTAATATTTTAAAATATCGCAAAAAATTTGTTTAACCCCTTATATCTTGTATTTTGGAACGAATTTCCGTCATCCCTTGTCAAATATATATCTTCTGTATTTTTAATTCCGGCAAATAATATTTATACAGTTGAAATCAGCGTGCATGGTACTATCGGTCTGCATTCTTACAGCCCTATTCCCACACCACTGACAAAACTCAGCGGCTGACTATTGCTTTTACTACTGCGCCTAATACTATGCCGCAAATTTATTTTAAGCTGTCGTGTGACAATTGTCAGTTTTATTGTTATGACCTACTGAGTAAGTGACAACGGCGAAACAATGTTTATATTGTGTTTTAGGCGCAGTAATTGTGACAATAGTCATATGATGAATTTTGTCAGTGTTGTGGGAATAGGGCGGTTAGTTTTCCCCATAGCTGAACGGTGGGTTATCTTGATTTGTTCCGCGAACGTTCACGCTCACGCTCACATTGAACTGTATAGCGAGCTTAACGGTTCTTTTGTGATAGAAGAACTGTATGGTGGATTCGTCGAAAGCCATCCTTTATTAAGAATGATAAAATATTGTATTCTCTCCATCGTGCTCCTTTAGTATATCAACTGTAAAGATTTTCGTTTCGCTATTTTTCTTCAAACCCAATTAGAACGCCACATGGTGCCGAGTGGGTAATTCACTCGGCCACCTACATCCATATGTACGTATGTATGTATGTACCCCGTGGGAAAAGGTAATCTATAGAAATTGAAAAAGTATTGGATAGCCCTCATAACCTACGTACGAAAAGATGCAAGAATTTCTCCACAGCGATGTCATACGAAAGTAATGTGTCGCATGTCGTTTACGAAACTATAAATCAAGAATAAAGTCCGCGCTACAGGTTTTAAACTCGTGACCAACAACACGGCAGTCGAACACGCATCCATTCGACTACAGCAGCTGTTGAGATAACGTGAACAAAAGACATACATACTTGAGTTAGTTTTCAAATTTGTTGTGTTTTATGTCGCTTCAAAGCTACACATCATCCGCTCACTTACATTACGATGCATCTTTTCGTTCAACCGTAATTAATAATCTTTTCTTGGTAGGAAAAGGTAATGGATTTCTATTTTCTCACTGGGTATGTACATATGTGCGTATGTATGTTTATGTGCACATTTGTACGAAAATATTTGCGTTGTTCCTAAAATAGTCTGAAGGTGATAGCGTCGCGCGGCTTGGAGAGCCGTTGCCACGTCTATGCCAAGTCCAAGGTAATTTCCTAGTGTCTACGTATTATTTTGATTTTCTTTCGCTTTGTTTTGAATTAAACATTTCTTTGAGACTTTTCGCAAGTACTTGCTCAATATATGCAATCAATTCTAAATAGTGTGACGAATGCATCACTGCGTATGCGTGAAAAGTAAAGAGAATTGAAGAGCTGGAATGTAGAGCAAAATTGCTTTGATCTCTTGGTTTTGTTTTTGCTCCACTTTGGCATTCAGAGCCAACAGCTGATTTCTCTGTTTGACGTCAGCAGCATTTGGTTGTGAAAGAAACGGCGCAGTATGCTGGCTGTTAGGGGCGCTACGTTTTGTGCAGATAAATGGATTTGCTAGAGTTGTGCACACATTTTTGACGTTAGGATTTTATTATGCTTGAAATTGCTTCTTCATTGTATATATTAACGCTTGTATCATAAAGAAACTATAGTACTGACAAATAAAAGGCCCCAACCCCATACCCAGTCCGAGCTTACCGTTTTTTTGCCAGCTTGTACCAAATATTACCAGAAATAGATCCCGACAGATTTAGCAGTTTCACTAGAATTAGTCCGAAAAGTACGGGATCAAAATTATGGCTAGTAGCAAGGCGTATTTAACCAGGTGGCGTTCGTCGTATATAAGTAAAAAATTACACTAACAAATTATACACAGATACCGATACTGTCGTTGGTATGAGTTACAACAAACATATCATTTTAACGTAATGCCCTCCCTATCGCCTCAACACCGCCGCGTTAAATGCACCTTGCTGTGTAGGGTGTAAAAGTTCCCTTAGTCGTCACTGCTAAATGCCAGCTGTTAGCTTACCATCGCAGTGATGCCACTACTTTACTTTGTAAGCATAAAGAAAGCATTATAACTCAATTTGTGCCGTGCACCATATTTTCTCATCTCGTTTTTAAACAAATGCACTAATATATATTTATTTATTTTTCCGAAGACAATGGATGTTTTTAATCTTACAAATTTATGTTATAACATATATCGCACACCGTCTTCAAAAGAGTTACAACTCTAAATAATCCGTCTGTGAGAAAATACGAAAAACTATTTCTTTGCACATGATAATCATACGGGCAAGGGTGACTTTACCTTTGTTTTTTTTTAACAAATTATAACGAAAATTTCCTCCAGCTTTTGTAGAAGGTAAATAAAAGCCCTGTGTCCATTTTCAGCGCATAATCTCAAAAATGCCAAATTTTGAGTTGTGACTCATTTGAATACGGTGTGCGATATATTAGACATTCCTTTTGTAGCTTGTTTGTTGGCAGTTGGCCACTCTATGCGTTATGTGGCGTTTTGTAGGAGGCTGAAAAATTGTGCCATCGTTTTTTCTTTGGATTTCGGTCGCGTTTTCGGTTTCGGTTGGCGCTGTTGTTCTTTTTTGCACTACAAAATCATTCAAAATTCGCTTAGTAAATTATACACTGGTTTTTGCACAATTCGACTAATTTCGCATCACATTCACTTCAGGGTTTGGTTCTCCAAGATCCAGATAGAAAACTTCAAGTGTTGTGCCGTTTGAGAAAACAATTCAGTAGGTGCAGAGTGCTGTTTGTGGATAGTTTGGAGTGGTAGATACGCTGAAGTAGGAGATCGGTCGCGCGGTGTGTTGCAAAAGTACAAAATGTCAAGTCAAGGCGAACAAAAGGCAGCAGCTGTCTCACCCAAGGCTCCGGCTCCGATTCCAGGTGGTTTGAAGTTCCTTTTCGGAGGTATTGCAGGCATGGGTGCCACCTGCATTGTGCAGCCATTGGATTTGGTGAAGACTAGAATGCAAATCTCAGGTGCTGGCGGTGGTAAAAAAGAATATGAAAACTCATTGGACTGCATTAAGAAGGTGGTAAAAAAATGAAGGTCCCTTGGGATTGTATAAGGGCATTGGAGCAGCGCTACTGCGTCAGGCAACCTATACTACCGGCCGGCTTGGCGTCTATACATACTTGCAGGATTTCTATCAAACTACGTTTAAACGCACGCCCGGTATATTGGACAGCATGGGCATGGGTATTATAGCCGGCGCAATGGGCGCCTTCATCGGTACGCCAGCTGAGGTCGCACTTATTCGTATGGCCAGTGATGGACGTCTGCCGCCAGCGGAGCGGCGCAACTATTCCAATGTGTTAAATGCGTTGACACGCATAACGCGTGAAGAAGGCGTGACAGCATTGTGGCGTGGCAGCATTCCTACTATGGGCCGGGCTATGGTGGTGAATATGACACAGTTGGCTTCCTATTCGCAATTCAAAAACTACTTCAAAAATGGACCACTCAAGATGGAAGAAGGCATTGGACTGCATTTTTGCTCAAGTATGTTGAGTGGTTTTCTCACAACAATCACTTCCATGCCGTTGGACATTGCCAAGACTCGTATACAAAATATGAAGACAGCACCTGGCGCTAAGCCGGAATATAGTGGCACCATCGATGTGCTGCTCAAGGTGGCACGTCAAGAAGGTCTCTTTGCGTTATGGAAAGGTTTCACACCATATTTTTGTCGTCTTGGTCCACATACAGTGCTGACATTCATCTTCCTGGAACAATTAAACAAACAATATCGTGAATTCGCTAGCCGTAGCAAGTAAGCTAGTGGACTGTGATGTAATCACTTCTGACAGCTAGAAATGTGTGCGCGCTTATGTGGCCTAAATAATGCGTGCACTAACAAACATGCATTGCCTATAAACCAGTAACGAAGTGCAAATATATGTGGCTATCAAATTGTTTTCCTACAAAAAATCGAAAAATATTTTTGACGACATTCGCAAATTTAATCAATTAAGTAAATGTTTGAATGCAGATAGGCTTTTCTAGTTTACTTTAATAAGTTGTTTGTCCGCCGACCTAACTCTTTTTTTTTATATTGTAGTTGTAAATGCACACTAATTTGCACATAAACGAAAACAAAACTAAAAAAAAAGTGATGAGTAGCTTCACTTATATTTTCCATAAGCAGCACAATTGTTGATATACATACGTACATATGTACATAGATTATTGAATATAACGATACAAATATACCTAACTGTATGGCATATTTTATTTTTTAAATAATATATCACGCATTAAATACATCCAAGTATACATACATACATAATTTGTTATTGTCCTGGAACACAAATACAGTAAATGAAAAAATATACAACTTTTGTTATGTACAATAAATTAATATTTTGTTAAATTTGAAATGCAAGGATTTGTGTAAATAAATTAGCTGAGAACATATAACTGAAAAACCCGACAATAAATTTAAACCAAATGAATAAAAACACTGTTTACTTCCGTTAATTTTCCTTAATCTAGAATAAGGATCCTTCATTTACATGTGCATACTTATTTATGTATGTACATATGCACATAAACATACACTTTAGGTTCATTATAAACTTGTCCAAAAATTGTAAAAATTAATGCTCTGCGATTTACTTTTATTTTTAATTAAAGACAGTTGTTAATTTATTAAAGTTGTCGTGATTGTTTATTACTGCATACGTAATTGTTTTACTGCACCCGCAGTACTGTACCGTTATTTTGGTGTATTTAGTGTAAATCGCTATTTGCAGTAAGTAAACAAATACTGTCATTGCAGTAACTATAGCTAGCAGCGACACTACAGTATATACATACATATATCTGTTTTGATTGCGAGCAAGCCATGTGTTTCACTTCATTTATTGTCAAGTGCATTTGCTTCATTACTGCATTTACTGAAGTGTACAATAGTGCATCGTAAAAGTAAAACCATTTGCGCAGCCCTCTAGTACATACCTCAAAAAAACTTTTCAAGTACACCATACCTTAGAATTTTATTCAAAAACGCCCTAATTCAGCTGCTGATTGAAAAACGCTCTATCTTAGCTTAGTTTCAATGGATTTTCGTTTGAGATAGGGCGTTTTTGAACCGAATTCTGAGATAAGGTGTTACTCAACTAAATTATAAGAAAGGCTCTTTTTCAATAAAATTATGAAGTGGGCCGTTTTTCAATCAAGTTCTGAAAAGTTTTCGGAGAATGGGCGTTTTCGATTTGGCTGCCAAGATACATAGGTCGATCTTCCACTCTGCCATCGATCCAATGTTGCGCGTTTCATTTTGGACCAAATTCAAAATGATATTGTTTGCCACTTATGTTTATATATTAATTTTTAAGATTTTGAATTAAAATACAATTTATTCCCTAACAAATACCATATAAACCTAAGCATAAATCTTTATAGAACACTGATTTGATTTTTTAGAATTTTTTGTTGCCGAAGATATTGCGGTTTTCTTCCATACAAAAACAAATTGTATAAAAATCTATAAAAGTTGTTAATCAATAAAGTTTTAACACTTCTGAGAAAAAAGTTTGAAATTTTGATGAAAATTCGTTGAATTTATTTAAATGGTTCTACAAAATTTTAAGCTTAGCATTATATAGTGTTTGTTAGGGAAGTTAGTTTATTTAATATATATATATTTTTTTTTATATGAGAGTTGAAGTCGGTTTTTTTTTTGCTAAGAACTATTTTTTATTACATACCCACCAGAACGTGAAGGAGATCTCCCTATGTGAGGAATAAAATCGTACACAGGTACATATGTATGTATGTACAGTGGGGAGCAAGAATGAGTACGTGGTAATTTTTGTTAAATATTTGCAAGACTTTAAAGGTTAACATTTTTTCGCTATTTTTTTTTTATGAAAATATGGTCCATGCTTTTACCAAAACCATATAAATTAAACTTTCAAACTTCAAACAGAGCTTAGAAAAATTAAAAAAAAGGTTTATTAACATTTTTAAAAAATTCTTGGGTGAGCCGTTTGGTAGCCCATTAAATTTTAACATAATAAAGTGCAAGTTCTAAGCGGCTGAAAAATCGCGATGATTTTTTTTTTTACGCCTTTGGGGGTTTCTTTCATAAAAAAAGGCAATTCATAAAAACTGGCGTTAATTTTTTTTTTTATTTCCTTTGCATACGGTCTTGTGCATTTCTTCCATAAAAAACCACGTTTAAGGGCTGTTTCAATAAATCGGAAAAATTTATATAAAGTGACGCACAAGAAATGGAAAAGAAATTTGTCTTCTACCAAAATTACTTATATCAATAAATTTTGACAGAAGAAAATTCCTTTTCCATTTCTTTTGCGCTATTTTATATAAATTTTTTCGTTTTATTTAGAGCTGGAAATGGCTGGAATGGTGCAAAAAGCCGCCAGCAAAAAAAAAAAAATATCAAAAACTAACGAAATTTTTAGCCGTTAAAACTTGCTCATTATTATACTAAAATTTAACAGGCTATAAAACTGCGTACCCGAAAATTCTAAAAATTATGAAAGTTTGGGTTAAAGAGTAACACATTTTTTTATAAAAAAAAAATAAAAGTTTAACATTAAGAACCTTCAAAATTGTTGCTACCCACTGTATATATCATTAATGATAGTATTTATGTTTTACCTAAATTCAGGAAAAATATAAAGGATTTAAAATGCTTTTGAAATCGAAAAATTGTTTGAAAATATCACTCAAAGGTTTACAAACCTATTTTAGTATTTATAAATAAGACCATTAGTGCTTACGCGTCCACAAGAGGAAAGTGTTAAGTAAAAGAAGTCCACTCTGTCCAAAGTCCATAGGTGTACATCTGTACATATGTATGTATGTACATATGTACATTCATATATGTTTGTATTTAATTATCAGCTAAATACGTACATATGTATATACATTTGTGTGCATAAATAAATCAAAACAAAATGTTTGTTGTCAACAGTCGCCGGTCTGTGCCGTTCGATGAGTTGTTTTAAATGCACCGGTTTCACCGCCTTGCTAACGAAATGAATTGAAAACCTTGCGCGCATGTAAACTTGGATGTGCATTTGTATGTACATATGTATACATATATAGGGTATATGTACGTACACACATGGTACATGTATCTATAGTCATGTGAAATATAATAGGCACACTATATTTTCACCAGTTTTGGCTAATTGTTGTTTGTTTGTTTAATGTTTATTATTTTTGTATAAAACCACAGCCATTATCTCAAAAAAACCTAGTAGAAAAATTAGGAAAATTCAACAAAATTTTACAACAACAAACTTGTTATTAAGAATTTTTAAATTCTAAGTATGCAGTTTTATAGTCGATTAAATTCTAGTTTAAGAAAGTGCAAGTTTCAAGTTGCTAAGAATTCGCGTTGATTTAGATAATTTTTTTGTGGAGGGTGTTATTATTATTTTTTCTATAAAAATAACATTGTCGAACATACTTTGGATGGGAATGAGTGCGTTACACCGTCAGCAAAAAAAAAAAAAAATTGTCAAAATTCAACTAGAATCTAAGAAAAATTTCTTAGAGTTCTGAATAAAACTGCGTTCTTAGAATTTTTCTAAAAATACGTAAGTTTGTTGTAAAATTTTTCTAATTTTTTACAAAGCTTGAACTTGGACTTATATGGTTTTGGTTACATAGATAATGAGCTCAATTAATAAGCATTGAACCAACAAAAGAAAAATAGCGAAAACTGGTCAAATTGTCGTGCCACTATTATTTTTCACGTGACTATGCATATGTACATGTATGTATACATATGTATAGGCATTTCGGTTGTTTTTGTTGTTTTAAGCGATTATGCAGAACATACACATTCAAAATAAAACTTGATTCAAGTTGATAAAACCAAAACAAAATTGATAAAAAAAAAAATATTGTGTCTGGCGCGTTTACGCTACTAATGGAATGCATTTTAATCACGCTTGCATACATATGCATTAACATTCACACATACACATACAATACGTAGTAAATAAATGGAACTATTGCTTTTTATTTATACACAAGCGCTACATTTTCATGTTGAAAATAATGGGTCTCTCAAAACGGAGAGTAATAACAACGTTTTTCGTAAATAATCTGGAAAGCAAAAACTTGTTGAATTTAAAGCTACCTCTTAAGTCAAGATTCCGTAACAGTTTCAGAAAGAACTCGTTGCTATGGAACTAGTTGTGGTCTTCTCTTTTAGCAGATCATCTTTCACACACCTTCTAAGTGCATACATATGTTTGCATGTATGTATGTATAGTTTTAAATGTTGAGTTAATTGGCATTAAGTGATAAGAAAATATTTGTCACAAAAATTCAAATGTGTGCTTTTCTGGTCACGATTAGCGAGTAAAATATTAATTAGCACACTTAAACATCATGGAAAGAGATAAAACGAAGCAAATAACAGATACATACCTAAAGTAATATTAAAAAAATATGAAATGAAATAATTTGGTTTTGTTATTTTATGGCCTTATAACAATTATATTCAACAAATTTTTTTTTTTTTTTATAGAGCTTGAGGCCGTTTTTTTTAATGAATTATTATGAAGATTTAAGACCAAAAAAAAAACTTAACTTAAATAATTGGATTTTGATTAAATCGTAATCGTTTTATTTTTTTTTGGGTTAAGCTGAGAAACTTTCAATATTTGAATTTACATGCTTTTAAAGAAGAAATTAGGTTTGTTCATGTAAAAATTGTACAGTAATTTGCGAGTAAATTAATTTTCGAGAATTTGACAACATTCGCTCTCAAAGAGAAAAAGGTTTAAAAAATATGTGAACGCAAAACCGATAAAAACGGATCAATTCGTTGCAATTTCTGAACCAAAACGATATTTCATATCAAATGTAAAAGCCGTTATCGATAGACATTTTTGTGCTGATTACGAATCTGTAAGTATAAAGTTTCCATCAGCTCCAGATTTTGAGAAAAACGTGGTCAAAGTGTTAAAAAATCGCGTTTTTGCAATATTTGTGAAGCTCTAGCAAAAAAAAAAAGTCGGATGGCTGATTTTGATTCGAAAGCTAAATTTAAATATTTAAATGTTTTAATTATATGTCCACGAGGGTGATTCACTGTCCATAAAAAAAAATCGGTAGTGTTTTTCCATCGGAAAAAATACTATAAAATTTAAAATATTTTTAGACTTACGACCAAATATTTTGGAAATCTTTTGACATTGACGTGAGCTGTACCTACTTGAAAATCGATTTTTTTTTTATAAATAAAATTAGTTATTAAAAATATATTTGATTTTAAAATCACTTCAAATGACAGAAAAGTTTATGCTTCTAAGACATTCTAAGCATTCTACATTTTATAATATTTTTCCGTGGATAATAAATACTATAATTCCAATGGAAAAACCGCAACTTTTTTTGGTGGTACAACCTAATGTATATGCCTGTACCTGACACCACAGATACACACATGTATGCATACATATAAGTATGT